AAAGATAAGATTCTATCTTATCATTTCATTTGAAGAAAAATTTGTTGAAAGAGAAAGAGAGTATTGTGGCGGTGAGAAGTGTTCTTGAACAAATCTTTTGTTCAAAGCTGTTTGAAGAGCTTGTGATTTGCTGTGTGTTTTAAAACTACAGAATCTGTGATTTGTTAAGGTGAGTTTTAAAAATACTGTTGATTATACACTGTGAGTTACTGATGACTAAAACCTTTATATATTTTGTTATATAAACTGTTGGGTTTTGATATTGGTTTTGAAGAAAAGATGGTAAAACTATTTTGATAGTCTAAAGGTGTTATTGTTATATATTTGTGTATTAAAAACTGTTTTGAGAAAGATAAAGAAGAGATTGCTTATTTAAAACAGTTTTTGAAATGATATCCTGTTTTGAGGATTTAAAAATGGGATATGATGTTTTTGGACATCATTGAAAGAATAGATTGTTCTTGAGTTTGAAGGGTTTTAATGATAAAACCGTTGGTTGAAAACTATAGAGAATATTCTTTTGAGACGATTGTAGTTTTGATATGTTTTCATTTGGAATTAATCTATAGATTTTATGGATAAAACTATGAATGAGGATTCGATAAGATGGTTGTGACTGCGGTCCTTCATCCGAACTAGTTCATAGATTTTGAAGAAGAAATAAGGGTGGCATATCAAGGAGAGGTGCCTTTTGGAATAAGGGTGGCATATCAAGGAGAGGTGTACCTTTGGATATRAGGGTGGCAATTGTGTGTGAATATTATAGCTCTTACTATTATATGTTTTAAGACTACAATAGATTTGAGTCCTTACTTTGTGATTTGAGAACTCAAAGATATTGTTCTTATTAGAAATAATAGTATTGATATTATTGAGAAGGGGAAAACTTGACCTATGGCCATTGATATTGGTTAAAAGTGTTTTGGAACAGAATGATTATTTTTATGAGGAATCAGAGGGGCTCTGGTTGTTCCTTGTAAGGAACCAGAGGGGCTCTGGTTGGTCCTCATTATTGGACCAGAGGATTCTGGTTATTGATTTGGAGAATGAGCAAGTTTTTACTAAATGTATTAACTGGATCAGAGGCTCTGTATCTATTGATAAGAGCTTCTATGTCAAAATCATATTTTTAGAAGTTTTTAAGAATTTTTTTTTATACTTAAAATCTTTTTATGAAAAACAGACCAGAGAGGCCCTGGTTGGCTTACACGTTGAACCAGAAGGCTCTGGTTGATCATGTCTTTTGAACCAGAAGCTCTGGTTTGTACAACCAGAAGCTCTGGTTAGTACAACCAGAGGCTCTGGTCGAGGAACCAGAAGCTCTGGAAGAGAGTCCGAAGGGGCTCTGGTCTTGGTTATTGAAATATATTCCAAGTGTGGTTTGAAACCAGAGGCCCGATGGACCGAAACAGTATGATTTTAGTTTTGCTACATGAGATGAATTATTTGAAATAAATGTTTTGGTGATCTTCACCCTGCATTACATAAAAGGGAACCTCACTAGACATTCATGTCTAACCCTCATTTTGTGTTTTCACAAATATGTGTGCAGGTAAAGATAATAAGGGAAAGAGCATTATGTGAATTACTTTCCTATGTGCTTAGCTGTGTGAAGATCTTAATTAGCCACGTTTTGGAGTATAGATGCTAGGATACAAGAGCATGTACCTTGAAATTTTTGAGCTGTATATTTTAGTCTCTTGTATTATGGACCTATGTGGGAGAATACATGTATTATATGTATAATATATGTGTTATATGCAATGTATGGATTGGGGGTGTTACACAAGACGAAAGATGTTTTGAGCATCATCCTCATATGGAATATTTGGTTCATTTCTAATTATACCTTGTCTGTCAATAATCACATTTTCAGCCACTGTTTCAGAGTTTAAAGCTCGAAGAGCTCTTTTCACTCTTCTTCGTTGTCTGAAAGTTTGTTCAATACCCGGATCAAGCGGAAAAAATTCACCGTGCGATAGCCTTGGCATACACGGTGCGTTCACAAAAAGATGGTATAAAAACTAACTTTTATAAACTTTACTTTAAAAAAGAAAAAAACTTCAGCGTACTATCCCCGACAACGACGCCAAAAACTTGCTCGTCGATTTATTCAACCTTAGATTTCAATACAAAAATAAAACTCGGCGCAAGTATACACCTYGAACTACTGTCGTCTCGTAACAAGTAATAATGGTATAAGTACCAGATATCGTTCCCACAGAGATAGCATGTAAAGTTCTTCAAAAGTCCAGTTTATAAAACCTAATTTCAGATGGCGAAACGAGGGATTTGATTTATCTAAAATTGGGAGGTTTAATTAACAACTAGGAAAATATCAATCTTAAAAAGAAGCACAAAGTRCAACAGTTGATTAAGACATTAAACAAGTGATTCACCAAAAAGGTGACATAGCATTCCTGTCACAATTATCTAAAATCAATAAATGATTTTATATAACTGTCACAGTATCAAGAATCGGGTTAGACGGCCTCCCAAGAGCACACACCAGTCAACGTGCTATCGATACGATATCATTTATGTTAGACGTCGTGAATCCTAACACAACACAATGTTACCATCCTACACCGTAGGAGTATAGCATTTGTCAGACACTAAAGCTATTTATATCCTTCTCCTATTACCTCAGGTTTTGAAAGTCAATACATTTTTATACACAAAATTAGTTGTCAATTAATTTTAATGTAATCATCAAATGAAATATTAAACACCTGAAATAAATAGTAGACTATAATGCTAATAAGACACCTTTGTACTTTCACATCAGCTTTGGTCTTAATTTCCCGTTACACCCCAAACTAAGGCATTAGCCCATCATCGCTCGGTTTCTTCTCTCGAATGATGTAAGGACTGAAAAATAAATACTGATACGGAAAAGTAAATTATAGAAAGTAAATTGCAGAAAAGTAAATTACAGAAAAATAAATTACAGAAAGTAAATTACAGGAAATGGAAATACTGGAATTTAAAGTACTGGAAATTAAATGACTGAAAGTAAATTGCTGGAAATTAAATGACAGAAATGTAAATTGCAGTAAAGTAAAGACTGAAATGTAAAGGACTGAAATATAAAGACTGAAATGTAAATGACTGAAATATAAAGACTGAAATGTAAAGGACTGAAATATAAAGACTGAAATATAAAGGACTGAAATTAAATAATTAATAATTAAATATTATTAATTAATATTAAACTAAGACATGATGGATGACAAGTACTTGATTAGATGGAGAAATGACAAATGAAAACCTTGAAAATAGAGTTTGACTTTGAGGAAGCTTGGAAGACAAGTAACAAAAYTTGCAAAACAAGTTTCGTTACAAAGACCGAAAAGGTTACTTGCAAAACTCTTAAAAACATATTATTTAGTCTACGTAAATTAGTCGTGAGCCATAAATGATGAAATCCAATGTAAAACAACAGAGATCGACTAATTCATAACTTGTAACAAAAATCAGAAAATGTAACGTAACTTGGAAATAAGAACAGAAATGAGATGAAGATTAAATACGAGCACTTGAATTAAAACTTGAAAACGTAATCACAACTTCACTTCACAAAAGTCGGTTCTTGGTTGGAAGCAAGAAAACCGAAATTATGAAACCGAAAACAATATTCTAGAGAGCAAATGCTTATAACTCAAAGATTTGATAAATAAACAATTAAGAAAGTAAGTAAAAGTGTGTAAATTGGTGAATTGGTAAGTAAACTCAAGCCTTAAGCCTTCTATTTATAGGCTAAGAGAGTTTGCCAAGTGGGAGCCACCTAATAAGACTTAGGCTCTTCAAAAATGGGCTTTGACCAGGCCCAAGGTCGTTGACCCAGCAATCTCTAAGGAGTAGCCCACGAATTCTCGGCCCAGGCAAAAGTGCAGTTCACGGACAGGTACCATAGGACTTTGCCACTCCTGGTCCTACATGACTGCTGTAGGATCGGGCTCAAAAATCATCAAAAACCTGCATAAACAGGGGATTAATATTAGATATACTATATTACTACTAATATATGAAATAGACATAAAAAGACTCAATTAAGATACTAATGGGTAAATAAAACAAAGAAAAATGGTTAAGAAAATAATGTAATAAGGTTAATAAATTAACACTTATCAAATACCACATTTGATTTGTTGATTTCTTGATTTTTTTGGACACCACATTTGACCATTTCAATTTGATTAAGTTAGG